TTTACCAGTGAAAAATATGCTTAACATGTCTTTAACATTCCTTAGTGAATTTGATTACGTTATTGAGTTTTATAATATATTTTAAATTAGGGTTAATAACTCTGATTACCAATGATTTACTCCTATTGTTATTCGTTTGAGTAAGTTTATGTTGCATGGCGCTTGTACAGGGTGTTTCTGATGTATAGTTTTGTTGTAGTGTGCTGAAGGGGTTTTCAAGTTGTTTTTGGATCTTAGGGTGTTTTGTTGTCTTTGTCTGAGGCTGTTGATATGTTTGCTAGTCATATGACGCTTGCTATTGTATCGTAAAGCCACGATACAACTATATATGATTAAACCGTACTAAATTTCCTTTAGTTATTGTGTAAACGTGACGAATTAAGTAATAATTTGTTAAAGAACACTTCTTCCTCAGATTACGATAAACGAGGTAACGTTATATAAAAAAATACACGATTTTGTAGTTATTAACGGGTAAAATATTACAGTTTCAACTTATACAGAAATACGGCTATTTCTTTGTTGTTGTTGTTTTTTCGTAGGTCTACTGTGGGGGTTTTCATGATAAGACACGATGTGGGAGAAGAGAAATTCTAATTTACTTAAACATTTCTGAAAGTAAACAAATTAACACAAATTTTCTGGAGAAGATATATTAACTAGAGTTCCGAATTTACTACGTGTATCTACACAAAATGTAGCAAGCTTTTAATAAAATGTACAAATCTTTTGTACACAAAAAATTATCAAATGGGTTACTAAAGTATTTATACTCAAGATGCCCCCCCCCCCACACACACACTGGCACAGCAGTATGTCTGCGAACTCACAACGCTAGAAACCGGGTTTTGATACCCGTGGTGGGCAGAGCACAGATAACCCATTGTGTAGCTTTGTGCTTAACTCCAAACACAAACACAAAGCACTCAAGATATGTATATGAATTGACGACATCAGTCTGACTCAGACTCGGACAAGTCAGAGTGCGAGGTAATTGTTTATGTAAAGAATAGAAATATTTTTCCATCGTATAACTTGCATACTGCAGTTGAAAAACCTAAGTAATCTCCGAAATGCATAATTACATTTTTTTTTGTTATATTTCTGTATACTGTACTTGGTTTTCACTCTCTTCTATTACGAATTGTCGCTAAATACGCAACGAGTGTGAAATAAATAATTCGTAATTTTGACATCAATTGCATAATACCATTTTGAAAGCCACTGCAAAAGGTGGTGAAATGCGCACCTTGCAGAAAGTGATGCACATGATGCAGGATGCTAATTGATAACACTGTGGATTCAATCGCGTGCCGAGTAGAATACTCGAAAGTAAGGCGTCTGTGATGTACAGAGTGGTTGCTTATTCTGTAGGTGCTGCCATCGGTTTATGGTTAACAGCTTTTAAGTGTCAATGGTTCCATCTATCATCATGTGAACTGACATAAATTATTGGATTTATTAATAAATACGTTGTTGTTGTTGTTTTAATTACAACCGTTTTGAAAGGAAATGCACTTTAATTAATATATATCAGCACATCTTAGTGGCTGCCATCTCAGGTATTATGACATGGTCAGGCTATGCCAAGTCATAAATGTCTATCTTATTTGTCACTAAAATGCTCAATTATCATTCAGATTTGACGTGTGATATTTTAAGCTCTTATTCATAGCTATCCTTCTATTTAACTACTTAAGCTTTACGTTTTCTTCACTAGTGGCTTTCTGTTTGTTTGTAATTAAGCACAAAGCTACACAATGGGCTATCTGTGCTCTACCCACCACGGCTATCGAAACCCGGATTCTAGCGTTGTAAGTCCGCAGACATACCGCTGTGCTACTGGAGGGCATGTGACTTTCTTTCATACATTTAGCAAAGGAGCAGTAAGGTATAGAAGCGGAATGGGACTAAAATATAAGGGCTAAGAGACTATAACTAATTTTAAAAACGTAGATCTGGCTGTCAGATAAAGATCAGGCTAGTAGTAAAAGAAACTGAAGACATGGCCATGATATACCCTGGGGGAATTAAACGATATAACAGTTTATCGTCTGAAGTCGTGACATTATCTATGTCAACAAAGGAAAGTTTTATTATCCAACAAGGCAAGAAAATAAACGTGTACATATTCTTGACTTTGTTCTTTTGTGGTGTTTTAGATGGTTACTTTAATTTTTTTCTTTAGATTCTAAATGTCATTCTTCCATTTAACACTCTACTTTTTTACGTCAATATTAGAACTTTAACTTAAAAACTTTACTATAAAACAACATCAGGGCTTTATTTACCAAGGGACTCCACGCAAGAAATAGTCAATTCAGAGGTATCTTTGAGAAGCCCTTAAGGAAAACTCCCCAACACCTGCAGAGGCAGAAATATGACGGAAAGTGATATAGAATGTTCATGTCCAGAACATCCGCGAACTTTAAGAGAAATAACATCATCTCACGATATCATGATTACGAGCTTACTCCTGTCTAGTTCTTTCTCACAATAATCTCCAAGCAAAGGTTCAGTACAGCTCTGTATTCCCATAAGAAAGCCAAACCGATGAGCAACTAATGTAATCTTATTTTTATCATATTACTTTCCGCGTGTCTCTATTTTAAGTGG